GGCAAGGGCTCAAATGATCAGAATAGGAACTCTTTCCAGGGCTCTAGGGAGACCTGTGAGTATTTTTAAGTGTATTTGGAATTATACTATTTCGTAGAAAATCGGCATCAAAGTGGGAAATGTTTGACAGAAGTTGAAATCCGTGCGCGTGTCTGTTTACGGTCTCTAAACTCACGAAATAGCGCATCCAATTTGTGAAAGCAAATACTAGAGATGTAACGTTCCAGTGCAATTTACATTCAATCTGATACTACAAACCCGCACAGAAATTTAAAGCTGATCCTTTGGTTCAAAAGGGATGATAAGGAAGGCCCATTTACACGGGCATGTTTTGGTGCATTTTTTGTCCCAACTCAATAATAAACAATTATTGGATGAGGTTTTTGTGATATCCGGGATAATCAAGGTCGAGGTAAGTGTTATCAGTCGAAGCCGAAGGCAGAGGCTAATAATACTAACCGAGACCTTGATTATTTGAGATGTCACAAAAACCGAATCTAATAATTGTTTTATTATACATTGTTTTAAAGAAAATAACGACAAATGCATTATCGCACAGAACGCAGTTGGAAATCATGCATTGTACGCATAACCTACAGATTATTCGCTAATCTGTAGGTTGTGCTGTTCCCCAGAATTAACTGTAGGCTTTTAGCTAATGAGAAGACAGGGTCTCTACAAAGTATAATAACATAAGTTATTGTANGCTCGCGAGAAACGAGAAACGTCTCGAGAGAAACGAGACTCGTCTCGTGAGAAACGAGACGAGAGGTGGTAACTTACTTTTGAGCGGTACTGTAATAATTGTTTTATTATACATTGTTTTAAAGAAAATAACGACAAATGCATCATTGCACAGAACGCAGTTTATTTTTGACAAGCCATGTTCTTACTTCACTGTCCGTGAACTTGACATTGCTCTTGGAAATGATGCATTGCACGCATAACCTACAGATTATTCACTAATCTGTTGGTTGTGCTGTTCCCCAGAATTAACTGTAGGCTTTTAGCTAATGAGAAGACAGGGTCTCTACAAAGTATAATAACATAAGTTATTGTATTGTATGGCTACATGTAGCTCTGAGTGGGTAAGATGATCGAAATCCTGCGCTGTGATTGGCTATCCAAGCGGGCAAGATGGCACTATCTTGCCTACTTGGGATTATGTGCTGTGTCCTGCAAGAAAAATTTATTCTTTATCCCATATAATAAATCCTTTATTGACCAAGGTTGTTGGGTCAAGATGGCTGAATATTGGACTCTTTCTT